TAGCGTTGCATCGCTATCGCCCACCTAAAAGCAAAAAAGTCAAATTCGGCGCAAAAAAAAAAACACACTTTCTCTTAAAAAGCGCAAGAAAACTCGATTAATAGAAATAATGATGAATTGTAGCCGTTCTAGGGCCGTATCGCAACCTAAAAGAAAGTCTACGGTTCAAAAAAAATCAAAATTTGGAACGACCGAAGTGAGAAAGTTAAAACGAAGGGTGGGAAAAGTTTGCTGAAATAATTTGCGGCTATTGGTAAGCCGAGTCGTAATTTTCGGAACCATCGGTAGGCTAAACCCCATCTTACTATCCTTTTCCTTTGCTTTTTTTTGTTTTCTTCTTTTCTTGATATTTTCTCTTCAACCTTTAAAATACAAGTTGCGTCTCTCCCTGCACGTCCGTCCTATTTTCACTTATAAATGATTTAGAGTACATCCGCCCGGGAAATGATTTATCAAAAATACCTTAAGGGAATTGATGATAGCGTTGACAATACGATCAGCTGATGCTGCAACAACTGTTTCGACAATATGCCCAGCATCTGGTTGCCACACCGTTGTTCCGTTCAGTTCATTCTCGGCACTTGGTATACCACCGGTCCATTGCATTTGTATGCCACGATCTTCCATTCCCAGCTGATGACTTGGACTGCAATTGCACCCATCATTTAATGATAAAAAATTTAAAAGCAAAAAAAAAAAATAAGTGTAATAAGATATGTAATATGCAAGATGTAAGTCGAAAGCATATTTTTTTCCGGTTATTTTTTTGTTTTTGTTAATAATTTTCTTTTTGCTTTTCTTATTTTTAATTTAAATAAAACATATAAATACACGCATAATGTAGATCAAAGACAGTACTTTATCCAGCAATTTTTTTGGTTTTTTTTAGTAATTTTTTCGTTTTTTTAATTTTTTATTTAAATAAAACATAAATATGGAGCATGCATAACACAGACCGAAAGTATATTTTTTCTCCGTAATTTATTGTTTTTGTTAATAATTTTTTTTTTGCTTTTTTTATTTTTAATTTATTTAAATAAAACATATAAGTACACGCATAATGCAGATCGAAAGCAAACACTTTTTTCAGTAATTTTTTGTTTTGTTAGTAATTTATTTGTTTTTTTCTTATTTTTTATTTATTTAAATAAAACATATAAATATGGAGCATGCATAATGTAGACAAAAGTATATTTTTTCCCACTAATTTTTTGTCTTAGTAATTTTTCGTTTTTTTTTTTATTTTTTTAAACATATAAATCCACGCATAATGTAGATCGAAGGTATACATTTTCCAGTATATTTT